TCGCTCGGTGATACGCTAACAAATCATCGCCGAAAAGTTCGTTCGCTGATGAGATGACGCTTTCGGTGCTTCAAAATGATATATATTTACTTTGGATGAGATGGTTTTTTTGTGCTGTGGCGGTGAAGAGGAATTGCAATACGAGACAATAATAATATGAGTTGACGCAATCGCTTTTGATTGGTTTGTTTGCAAGTAAAAAGCATAAATAAATTCTGTGCACTCTCGTCAGAAGTTCGTTCTCATGGACCTACCGCACTGCATTTTTCTTTTGTCGTTGTAAGTTTCTTTTCAAGTTCTTAAAGTACAACTTACATACAAACAATGTTAAGCGAAATTTTTGCGTTCCAATCTGCGAAACGATACATTTTGATTGCTCAATTAATTAACAAGTGGAATTGCTGGAACAAATGATTTCAGAGTGTCAATTCGTTTTTATGCTCAATTCATTGCTTCATTATTGAGTTATTATACTGCTCTTCATTAAAGCCAGTCAGCCGGCCACCTTCAATTCTAAAGATATCAATAATGAAACTTGTTGTAGTGCGATGAAAATGCATAACTTGACAAGGCTAAACTGAAGAGTATTGAGCTGGCAGAAAATCGCATTCAATTGAGCGATAATGAGATAATGTGATCGGATAGGTTGAGATCGGAATTTTCTAGTGATCAGTTATGAATGATCAATTAATTGTTCCATCAAGGCCATATGCTCGCATCAGTTTACAATGAAAAGCTGCCAATTCTCCATGAAAACTTTCAGGATTCATGCAAAACATCAGAGTTCTACACACCCAATCACTGAACATGCATACAGATAGCAATTAAAAAATTAGAGGCCATCCAATAAAATATCGGAGCATACCGTGTTCGATATGTTTATTAGTGGTGAGAGTTTCGTTGTTGTTGAATGATGTTTGATCCTTGCAATTATTAACGATGGTTGTTGCGATTGACTGCAAATGAACGACATCGATTTGAGGCGTTAATGAGGATGTTGTTGGGCATGATGGCGATGAAAGACTGGACGAGAAGGATGGCAGAGATGAGGGTGATGATAACGATAGGGGTGCTGATAGCGATAGTGACAGCGATGCTGATAACGGTGTTGCGGTTGGTGTTGTTGTCGTGGCTGTAGAAGTGTTCAACTGGACATTGGACGTTTGAGACGATTGAGTTCCATTTTTTAGCTGTCTCTCGATCTGATCCAATGCTCTCCGTTTGGTGTTCAACGCGCATAAGTTACA